TGGAATCCATTTACGTCATTATGTGCGCGATCTGAGGAGAAGATAAGTTACCTTTGTATTTATAATCTGTACATTTATTTATCTATATACACTTTCATCTATTCAAAGCTCGTATTATGTATACAAAGTTAACTCAAATGAAAAATGAACGAAACTAGTTAACTTAAAAGTTACCATTTGTATTTATAATCTGTACATTTATTTATCTATATACACCTTCATCTATTCAAAGTCCACATATCGAAGCTTAACAAGAGTGTTTATTGAGGAAGTCGTTCTATACATTTTCTATTTTATTTAAACATGTCTCACGTAATAATCTGTATTGTCGGTACTGCTGAAACGGGTCCTTTTTATGCTCGCAACATTGTGAGATTTCCTCCGGCTATAAGTTGGAGCTTTTTATGACAAAGGACATGATCCCTTTGCGTGATGTATTTTACCACCTTTCCGCAAATGTTACGATCCATCTCTTTTTTATTTCGCAACTAGTAGTAGCCGGTACTACATGCGCGTTTGACTTTGTAAACACTATTGGTGATTGACGACTATATTAAATAAAGTATCTCCAAAACGTCACATATTTATTTTAGTTATTAATTTATTAATTAAAGGTGGTGTATTTAAAGTGGTATATAATAGCAAATTGTAATTATTTACTCCTTTGGAGGATATTTTTGTAAGCGTTCTATGACCCATTTTCAATCATTCTATTAATATTCAATAATTCCTGCTTTTATGCACAAAGAGATAAATAGACAGTCGCTCCATCAAGATTTTATTATATATAAAGAAAATACAGATTACTTAGGTGAGATATCTTTAAAGAGAACAGATAAGAAGGCTTTAAGTAGATGCAGAAATAATCATAAAGTCTCAACTCTTACCTTTTCTTTGAAAACAAAGAAACAATATCAGAGGTACTTTTAACACAATCGTCTGCAGTTTGCGTCGGAAGCTGTATACCGATTTGAAAGGATGTGATATTACGAGGTATGGAGACACAACTTAATCCTCTGGAATCTTATTTAACCCGACAATAATACATAAAACCTACCACGAGCGTAAGAATGTATTTTGTGATGTTGATGTAGCTCCTCATGTACATAGTAGACGGTTCATCACTTTCCATTTAGTGGGCCGTAAACATGTGTGGTATTTCAGTCATATAGACATGTATATATATATATCTAATGATGCGAATCATACATGGTTTATGAAATATCAAGATTTTCCTCGACAGTAATGAATTAGATACTGAAACATTTAACAGGTACATCTACTTCCCTGTGATGTAAAAACCTTGTACAAAAATTACAAAGAGGGCTTTTTATTATTTTTCTAATAAGACAACCTATTCTACATTCGACGGAAATTAAGTTTCTCTTTACATTGAATGAAGATAAAAAATAAAAGACTATTTCAATTACTTTGGAATATTAGGAGTTCGTAGGATGATTTTCTACTTATCTTTTACAATTTTGTTTTATTATAGTACATATTTATTAATGTTATCAGTTTTGATGAGATCCGATGAAAAATAATGATTCAATCTGTTGTAATGTTTCTGTTCAATGTTCCCGTACAATAAATTTTCTTTATGGCGCGCATAAAAATTTTATTAATATTTAAATACGCCCGAGGAAACCGGTGTATAAACAATAAAAATCGTAATAAAATTAAAACAGTAGAACTAAGTACAAGTATTTTTTATAATATCATACCGTAATATGAATAAAAATTACTCTCTCGAACGGTTTAATCTATGGAAACTGCCGTGAGATATAAATTCAACAAACTGTTGTTTCTATGACATGATGATATGTATAATAAACTTCCTTTTATATCTTCCTGAATATTTCATGTATACAACATTATTGTGTAGTAGTTTAAAGTAATTCAATATGTGTTCTTTATTTATCTTTATTTATTTCAATAAACACCTAAGAACATATTACAGAGAATAGCCTTGGTGGTTTAGTGGTTTTACACACTGCCAATTCTTGCACGGTACAAATATTTGTATTCATAAGTATGAAATATGATTGTTTGTATTAGTCTGGGTGTTTTCTACATTACCTATGTAATATATATAATATATGATTGTATCTTTTTACAAAAATATATTTAGTTAAGTATATCAGTTGTTTAGGACCCGTAAAACAAGATGAGTGGTGTCATTGCGGTGCAATGGCCGTAGAATTTATTTTTATTGAAATTTTTTATATAGTTAGTCATACGGACTGAATAAATATCTTTCTTGTTTAGTTTATTATAATATAGTTATAAAAAGTACAAATATTCAACATATTCCTGTTTTTATTTCGATCTAACCCTTTCTTCTCATCTTTTTCTTTCTTTGTCTTTGTAAAGAAGATATAGTTTTTATGTAAGTTACTGAAGAAAATATCGATTATTACAGACATAAGGTTAACAAATGTTCGTGTCGATAACTCATAAAACTGATAAAACCCGTTGTCACCTCACTCTCGAAGCGACGTTCACAAATTACAGGAAGGTAAACGTTATAAGCCACCAAAGGGCTTCGTATCTCGTTACAAGGGCAGTGATATCGTTTATCGGAATAGTATTCATACAACGCCCTGCCGATTGACGGAGAAAACAGCATTATGTCATACTCGTGAACGGGTGCTGCCACAAGCAGCACCCGTTCACGAGTATGACGTTCACTGACCGACTGATGTGTTCGATTTACGAATATTGATTAGATTATTTGCTTTTGCAATAGCATTTGCTGGTGATCAGTCTATTCTCCCAAATTTGAATTTAGAAATCTATTAGAATCTGTATTATTGTAAACATGTACAATATTTATTGTAATTGAAAAGAATACGAGCTGAGCCTCTTGTCAGTTCTTCTCATCTCGAAATTATTCCGAACTGACGGTAGATTTGACAATCATAAGAGTCATCATATAGACCTACATGAATTTGAAGAAAATATTAAAGGGATGGTTGAATACAGCTCTTCAAAAAAATAATTCATTCATTCTTCATTATTTGGATGTGTGTGTTACCTACCGTAACACACACATCCAAATAATATCTTTCAGAGAACTCGCATCCATATACTATGATAACCGCTTGATGTAAAATTGTTACCATGTCGCTGATTTAAAAAATAATAATAAGAAATATTATCGCACATATCCAATTATATTTTTATTACATATAATATATTTTACATTAGATTATCCACTTGATATGTTAATTTAGGTACATCAAACAGCATTTTCGAAAGGCTCTCTTCTTTGAGAAATACAACAATCAAATGAAAAATAATACATTTAGTTAAGATTTTCATTCGCAATGAAATTATAACCTTGTAATTATTTAATTAATGTATATTAAGTAGTTCTAATTGCAAGATACTCATACATACTATTTATTTCATTATATATATTTGCTAAAAATAGTACAATTTATACCTCTAGCCTAGTACTTTTTTATACTAAACCCATAAACGCTACTCAACTGGTGAAATATGGAACGACTCTTTTTTTCTTTCCATAATGCAGACTCTTATCCAACAGTTAAAGTTTTATAATATAACATGCTCTCATTCAGCAGATCCGTGATATGTAAATTACATTCACAACTTCTGAATAATAATTTACATCTCTCTCAAAATATGTGACTAATCAAAAGTGCTTATATCAAACTTACTCGAATAAAGATAATTTCTATTTCTTTTTCTCATCATATCATATTTCTACACCACTAAATTTCATGGTTATATTAATCATGAAATTTTGTGATAATAATAAATCAATAAATAATATACCATCACCATTATCCTAGAGAGTAGTGAGAGACATTGTCAGGCAGGAAATGCAATATTTTATATGCTAACCTTTGGTGTATATTTGAATCCAATGTGACCGCAGGTGCGACTACCACCAATTTTAGGGTATAGAGATATAATCAGAGAGTGTGCAACGAGAGTGGCAACACATAAGAAATATCACAGACGCTACATTATAATAATAGTGATATCTCAGGATAATTTACACAGCGTATTATAGACCCTAGCAAAGCAAAGCTTGTGTTATGGTTATATGAATATGAATGTTTATACCGTGCGAGAAATCGAACCTGCGACCATCGGAACTAAGGCGGTGGTGTGCTAAACGGCTAAACTACTGAGGACATTAATAAATATATAAATCATGCGTAGTCCAAGATCGCTGCTACATTCCATGAGGCGGTTAGTTTTTTAGCCATCTAGTTTCATAAAATATGGAGAATTTTTATCTACATTTAAAAAAACAATTATAACTACGTAAAGTCATTTATTTTTATTTTATTATTATTTAGCTGTTATTATAGAAGTTGCCAGTTTTCGGGACTAGCTGTAAAAAGACCCTCGGGATGGGGAGTTAATAGTTTACATTTATATCTAAATATATGCAACAAATTGCTAATACTATAATAGTCCATAAGGGACCAATTAATTTTAATTATATAGCGTATTAATTCGGACAATAAAATGCTTGTATACAGATTATAAATTCGTATACAAGTGTTATAATGTAAAAATAAGTAGCTAAATATCCTAATTGAATATATTTTTTATTTGATTTGCATACAAAATATGATGAAATAAAATTGTTATGTTTATTTTAAATAATAATCTTATCTATATTTAAGACACATTTTCAACCTACTTCAAATATAAAGGGTCTCATTTTATTTGACTATGTTAGTCTATAATTAGAATTATCAAATCGATTTTGAAATATTGTTTAAAAAAACGTGATAATCCGTTCAAGGTTAGCGTTGAACGGATTATCACGTTTTTTTTAAACATTTGTGTATATTTTTAAACGCTTAAATTCTAATTAATAATTGTACTAACTACATTTAAGGTATTTTCATCTAAATTTGTATTTGACTGGCAGTTAGGGTGTAATATTGTGTATACACTTGTTTGTATGGAAATAGCGCATTGAGCATCACTAATTGGTTGTCAACTTGCAGCGGACGAGAATGGTTCAATATCGGAGACAATACCCGACCGGCCCGTCGAGATCAAGAACTTTCCTAAACTCTGCGAGCAGAGGAGGAAATTTCCAGTTCTGTATAAATTAGAATTTCAGGTATGTTGCTATTACTTATTTATTTATTGATATTTAGAATAATGAACTCTACGGTACTTAAATTTTGGTAGAGTTTTGCGTAAGAAGCCCGGGTATCATATAACTTTACTTACTTTTTGTTTTATTCATATTGACATAGCCAATGACTAAGGCATATGGTATTATCCCTCTGTACTCCGTGATTTCACTACTGTATCTCATCATCAAATTGGAACACATTGTGCAAAATTGTTGCATGGGACTGAAGTAAGAATTTTGACTCAAAAGGACTCAAAAATACATATTTATTTAACGAATCAAAATTTTTGACTAAGGAGCTAATGTTATTTTGATTTACCATCTTATGTTACTTTTTATAACTAGTATAGTATATATAGTAGTACAAGGAAGTGTAGAAATGCTATAAAATTTTATACTTATTTTGCTGCATGTACTATTTTTATTTAAAGAGAACGTTCCACCTGAGGACATCAGAGATACCACTCATGCGTTGTCTTTCCACTAAGATGTCACGCCTCGTATCCTGTAATTTCACTACCTAATCTGCACCCAACATCCTAAACAGAGCTTACAAAGCAAGCTACTTAGCGGCTAAAATAGGTGAAACTGACTTTTTACTCAATTCCACCGAAATTCTGTTTAATAGAAAACGTTCGGGAAATGTGCACTGACCTAAGAATCTACTATCGGAACTACTTGACACAGATAACCAAAGACACTCCAGATTATATTACGACTCGACGTAGAAGCTCTCCATTAGTGGAAAATAATAATTCACTGTAATGGCTTCCTATCGGAAACTGGCGACGTATATTTACTACGTACATTAATTGAAAGAACCAAATCTGATAAGTAGTTATACTGTGGAAACTCGCAGAGGTTTAATCAATACTAACAATCTTTCTAAAACATGGAAACTTCTAGTTCCAAGTTCTAGTATAGAGTTTACTGTAAATAAATTCGACTAAATCTCAGTACAAGTAATTAATAATAATAATCTTTATTTAACTCAGAAGGGTCGTTACTATTAGTTATACAATAGGCATACTTTCAAAACAATATCAATCCTTTTAGTATTTCTGTGTAGACCTGGCTTCTGAACTAGCCGGCTAATGACAGGATTGTGATGAAGTATAGATTTCTATCCATCTTTACACATGTGTGCACATATGTTTTAATACCACGTAGGTACATGGTACAAAAATAATAATAAACAGCAATACTCCTATCTGACGGTAAACGAGTAGAGTATCCTGGAACAGAAATATGAACACGAAACAAAAAAATGATATCAATATATCTAAGTCTCAATTGGGTATTCAATTCAATTTTACGCTTTAAATTTATTTATGTTTGATTGGCATCGTTTTACAAAACAATAATTGTTAAGTATTATATATAGATGCATGTAATATGTATTACACAAAAAATAAATAAGATGGTTTCGTTTTGCAATTTCTCCAAGTAGCTACGAATGTAGAATGTAGGTAATATACTTAAGAAGGAATGAAAATAACGCAAGAGTAGGAGCGAACTGCGATGCAGACTCATTACAGGGATGCCTCGCCACTCGCCGAAGCCACACCTCGGGTGATTCAATTTGCGAGTTACTAAAATATATATAAACCCAGTTGCTTGTTGTTACAGCTTAAACTTTAACATGTTGCAATAAACTAGATGTTGTTTTCAGCTTTGTATGCTTTTGATGTATACAGGAATATTCTAAAATAGTTTCCCTCTACGAAATAAATCTATTGTTCAATTTGAACATTCTAAACTTCATTTGTTTATGTGATTAAAATTAGTCAGGATACACAGTTATTTCTTATGTACACCTAAGTGTCTTAAAAACACAGGAGTATTTTTCTAACAATTGTAACAACAAAGTTGAATGAAATTTTCTAATTCTTCTGGGATGTGATTGGTCTATTTTTATTACATATTACAAATATACATATATTTAACTGTCATATTGTAGCTTACTATGGAAATATAGTTTTATTTGGTAGTTAGTGTTCACACAGAATGTTTATAATAATTTTATTTTATCAGAATATTTTTTATCTTTCTTGGTTTAGTATACATTATAAATGAGGTATAAACTAAAAAAATTACCATTTGAAATTTTAAATATATATTTATCAATTTTTGTCGATATATTGCTACCATAAGTTGAAGTTAAATAACCGTTTAACAATGTTAATATGTAGTATTTTTTTAATTGTTTGAATTGAAGTATATACACAGAACAAAATAATATAGCAAACGCTTCCATAATTTTTATAAACATCCTACTAACCGTGAAACTACACTCGAGTTCCTCTCAGCAAATGAGGATCCAAGATGGACGCTCGGCAATTAGTAGGCAACTACAATATGCTAATTTTAATGTCTCTATACTAACTTTGTACGAAGTTTCTAAACATGTATTAACCATTACACTTCACAACAGCAAAATTTCGTGCAAACAAATACAATAAGTGTAGCTATTAACAAAATTTAATGGAATAATAACGTCTTTTAAGTACAGAGTTTCATATATGTATATTTTTTTCGAACTACTCTAAAGCTGTTGGCCACAGCTGGCTTTTTCAGCTTCACTGGACGATAGGAGACGAGTGCAGAGCACTTCAAACCCGCGGAAGGAGTTATGGGGATATCATACCTTTGGGATTGTTTTTCTGAATGCTACAAATATATTAGAAATTGTAGACGCTGTAATGTCGAAATTTAAATTTGAATTAGTTCATTTTTTAAAATTGCATATATATAAATAATGGTTATTCAAATAAACTTAATATAATCACGTTTGAATAGTAATATTTTTTACTCTATCACTTATTCGGAAAACGGGCTCATCACGGGAAGAGTTAGCAAGAAACTTGTGTGTTGCTTTTTTTACTTTACTGTAAAGTATTATTAATACAAAACCACAATTGACAGACGATTGCAATGATCATAAATATATGATACGTTTCACAAGTCCTAAGTCTATTAGAATTATTAACAATGTATAAATACATTCTTATATAGCATATTTCAACTCCAAGCGTAATAAAAACAAAACATCGGAATCCAAAGATTGTTTACTCTAAAAAGGAAATTGCTTCACCTCGTCTCTTGTTTTGAAAACAAAACTACGCACTATGCACATAAAACGTAGAAATATACAATCGACTTCGTTAGACTGGTCGGTATCTTTAAACAAAAGTTTACGGAATCATACGGTTAGGTGCTGCAAGATAATCCGTGGCTTACGGATTTAGCTTCTGTGAAAGATATTTCGCGCTACGGGAGTGCTCTTTATTAGTACGCAATATTCTTCTAGTCACAGTTTTAACTATAGAGTATATAAGACCGCTTATGCATGAAAATAGAAAATTTAGTTATAAACAGTAATTAACTCAGTTAAAAAAGGAGGTAGTTCACAATTCGATAGTATTATCTTATGCTTGTTACCTCAGAACTACGTCGGCAGAGGCAGACTAAATTTTCATCTACATGAGCACCTCAGTCTTAGTATGCATTTCAGCCACCAAATTCTGTAATAATAATATGTAATAAAGTAAGCCGACTTTATAAGCTATGTTTCGATTGTCGAATGCAGATTAAACAGTAAAATTACAGAATAAGTGGCATGATATTTTATTCTAGTTATTCCAATAAAATTGAAAATACCAATTTAGAAAATTGTTTTAGTATTTGTAACATTATGAAAAGATTGTCTATCATAATAACTAATATGTACCTAATATATTTATGCTTCAATGGCCTCATACTTATATTTTTTAATCCAGATTGTCCTTTTGAATAATAAGAATTTTCCTTTTGAAGAATAAAATATTTGACGGAAACTAGACCATCCTCAGCTCCTAACTACGTGTTCGTGGATGGTATAGTAAGTCTCATAAACTAAATGTAATAATAAAATCGATCAATATATATATATATATATATATATATATATATATATATATATATATATATTACTGTACTAATAATTATGTACGTGTCAATCGTATGTATCTAAATGAGGCACTGAGATTTGCATTTACACCCCGTAAATGCAATTAGTGCACTATGCAAAGCGATGCACTATAATTGTACCTACTTGTGTGTACATAGTACACCTACACTACAACCTTATTAACAGAGTAATACTCGTCACTATTTAAACCATTTAAATGCAATACTAGATTTTGTTGCCAAATTTGATGAAAAGAGCAAATTTTAAAGAACTGTTTTATTACGAAATTAAATAATAAATTAATATAGAAAAATCTTTATTAACATTTGTAATTTTTATTTTAGTTTTAGAATATATGTTTCTTAAATATTATATTTACGGTGTGTCGTTACCAATTTGCTAGTGATTTCTTCCTAAAACATGTAATTAAAGTTTCTTATGTAAAAAAATTATTATTTTTATATTAAATATTATATGCGTTACATTGAGGGGAAGGGAGAGCATAATAATTTTAGAAGGGCTAATGTGGGTAAATAATGGTACATAAATGGTTGGGAAATACTGATTTACTATTAGCATGAATATATTCATACTAATGTTGTAAATTTGAATGTGTGTCTGTGTATTTCTTACCTTTTCACACGACTAAACTTGCTACATGGCATAAAGATAGGATTGTATAATGAGGACGGGTATAGACTACCTAAGAGTATCCTTCAATTCCTGTCCCTAACGCGTCTACGTAGCGAAATCTGGAAAAGAGCGAGCACAATAGATATATGTCGCAGTGCTACAGGTCTAATTTGACAATAGCCAAAAAAAAATAGGCTACCTTTCGGGTAACAGATAGTTTTCTATATGAATAAAAAAATACAATAAATAAAATATTTTTAAGTCATTTTTAAAGACAGAACATCAAAATATGTAACAGTAGTGTAGGTAGCCGTAACATACCTAATATTAAGGCTGCATCTCTCGATACCCCTCTATACGATAGGTGTTACTGTAACAATTTTCTATAAAAACTATTTAA